ACCACTAGTAACTGAACTCCAGGATGAACATTTCCCATCAACCACCAACCTCTGTCTTCCTACAGCGAGCTAAAGATATAAAGATTTTGATTTCCCTTTAAGAATGGTGTTCTTGCAAATTGTCCTGATGAATACAAGATAAATGGCTTTGGGGAAAAAAGAAAGGTGCCTCTCTTCTCAGCAATACTCAAAAAAAAATGTAAATACAGTGTTGTTGGGAGGAGGGATGCTGGTGCCCAGATGCAGAATTCCTTAAAAAAAAAAAATGGCAACATGGAAACTTGATAAAAAGGTATCTAAAAAGTACAAAGTACATCGCTCATTAGATTTTATAAATAAAAGGAAATGAATAGAAAAGCAAAACAAATAAAAGAAGAAGAAATGTTCCAAGCCACTGTTAGAATCTAATTGGAATATGAAAAACATCTGGGTGACAGGCGTCAAAGGGCGAATTTTAATAGGACAGAAATAATGACAGGGATGAGAAGTAGGACTACCCTCCTTGAAACAGTGAAGAGGAGAACTGATGCAAGTTTAAAAGTCAGGAAGGAGTTCATAAACAAATTGACCCACTACCAGTTGGAAACAATTACAAAATTTAAAATCAGATTGGCGAAGCAACCGAAAAGATAAAAAAGAGAAGGGGGTCAGCCTACAGCAGGAGGACTGCAGCGGTTCAATAAGGCAGCTCACCACCACCACCTTCTCAAGGGCAACAAGGGACAAGCAAGAAATGCTGGCCAAGCCAGCGACACCCACATCCCAAAATGAACTGAAAAAAGTATGTACAGTTTGAATTAGAAATGCACTACCTGAAGGGATGTTGGATACAGATTCAGTTGTATGTTTCAGTGTCATGTTGACAGGCTGAGCGAGTGGGAAATTGCACAGAAGATGCAGGTTAAGTGGATGTATAAGAGGCTGGCCACTTTGATAGCGAAAACAGGAAGGCAAATGATCTAAATGGCTGGATGATATTAGACCTGGATGTTCTCACCGAAAGCATGTAGGTATAGCAGGGGTTGATGGTGGCAAATGGTGTGCTGACCTCCCAAGTGAGAGAACTCAAATACAGGGGTAAGGATGCCTTGCTACAATTATACAGGGCCTGGAATAGTATTTGGTTTTGGTCTTATCAGAGGAATGATGTTCCTGCTAAAAAGAGGGAGCACAGCAAAGGTTTACCAGACTGATTCCTAGGTTGGCAGGATTGATGTACGAGGAGGGATGGAGTTGGGTGGGGTTATATTCACCACAGTTCAAAGATACTGAGGGGGGTGGAAATCTGAGACCTATAAAATTCTAACAGGACTAAACAGGGTAGATGCAGGAAACATTTGCACAAAACACAGGGTCACAGTCCAAGGATATTTAGGACTGAAATGAGGTCATATTTCTTCAGAGTGCCGTGGGCCTGTGGAATTTGTCACCACAAAACTGTACAATTCCACACCATAAAAGAATATAGCACTTGGGGCCAAAGGGATCAAAAGAATGTTGGGGTGGGAAGAAAGAGAGCGAGAGCGAGAGCGAGAAGCAGAAACAGGCAGAGTTGGATGATCAGCCATGATCATAATGAACAGCAGAGCAGGCTCAAAAAAAAAAGGGCTGAATGGCCTACTCCTGCTGCGGGAAGGGGCAGATGTGACACCTCTGTGTTGTACTGTCGTTATTTGATGGCCTACTTCACTGGTGGTGTTTTAGGCATAAATATTGTGGGATCATATCACTGTCTAGTTTCCGTTCTCATTAAAAGGAAACACTTCCTAAACCATTACATCGCATTATTACTTTATGGTGTCGGAGACCTCGGCAGGTGTAAGCAGCAGGCAGACATGTAGGAAGTTTACATTTCTTACACCACAGGCCAGCTTTCAGCGTGTCTGAGAGCCGGACACACTTCAGTTTGACCTTTACCCTATTCCAAAGCCACTGCCATGATTTACAGGATTTTGGTCCATTTTAATCAGGGTCTCATTATCACCAGTAGTAGTAGTAGAAGAAACTTGTATAAACAGCCCAAAATAAGGAAATCCGATTGATCCACTGACAGAAGGGCCAGTCAGTGCATGACACAGTGTGAGGCTAATTGGGAAAAGCACTGGAAGCACTTTGTAACAAAGAAGTCAGTTGATGCGGAATGCACTGGCTCAAAGTGGTGGAAGCAGATGCATTTCAAAAAGAGAATTGAATATATATTTGAAGAGAAGGTGTGAGAAAAATTTTAAACAAAGCATAGCGAGAAAGGAGAGGGGAGTGGGACTAATTCATCTTGTTAAAGAGTTTACAGAGGCACAATGGGTTGAGTGGTCTGCATCATTGAAATCATTGTTGTACAGGAGAACACTCATTTCAACAGGTTATGTTCAATCTATCAGATATTCTTCACTTAGCATTCAACTGACATTTTGTACACAATTTTCAAACAGACCACAACTTTTATATCCATTAGATTCTACATTAGACAGTCCTCAGGTTGCAAACTGGTTCTGTTCTGGAGTCCATTTGCAAATCTATTTGATCACACAATGCAGGACAACATAAAAAAGGAGCAGTTAAAAACTGCAAGAACTGCGATTGCCATAAATCAGAAACAAAGATAGAAATTGCTGGAAAAGTTCAGGTCTGGCAGGATCTGTGGAACCGAGGAAGGGCCACTCGACCCGAAACATTAACTGATTTTTCTCCACAGATGCGGCCAGACCTGCTGAGATTTTCCAGCAATTTCCATTTTTGTTAAAGGAGCAATTCATAAGTACAGGAAATATTTGTATGTCAGATCTTTAGAATGACGCCCCTGTTCAAGATCACATTCGTAGGTATTCTTTCAATATGTCAGGGACCCCTGTACTAATTACAATGGAATAAAAATGATTCCATCACACTAAATTTGGACAGCACAAAAAAAAAGTCACTTACTTTTCTGGAAGTATGCAGCAAGACACATCCAGCATTGTCATTCTCTGTAAAAGGGTAAAAGGTTTACAGATTACTAAATCGTGGAAACATTTTTGGGTTAGTGGAAGGATTAGATTTTTCATCAAAACCTGTGGAAAATTAGCATTCTGAAAATAACAATTCACTGGATTCATTGAGTAGGAGAACTCTGTTTCAATCTCAGAAATGCTCTCAGGATGTCAGTGCTAACATTTGGAGGTCAGTGATATACCAAAAGTTCTCTGTCCCTCCTTTATCCTCAGATTACTTTTCATGCTAGCAGCTGCATCTGGATTGGTTGGTTTCATCTTCATGATCTCGGCAAAAATTTATAGCATTAAAATTTATGGTTACAAATACTTAAAATTTTAATGACAACTGGTTGGGGCGGATGATCAAACAGACAAAAGAAAACAAACAAAACAATCTTGACTTTTGTGACTTCTCTAGTCGCTGAAAAGAGAGTTTGTAATCTTAGAATTACACTTCATCATACATTAGACAGCAAACTCCTACACATTCTGATCTAAAAGAACTAGACCTACACAAAGTATTAAAACTGAGAATTGAACACTGAACGGCATCTATATCCTCGAGGAATTCCACAATCATATTGAGATGCTGGCATCATTGGCTAGACCCAGAGGGCAGTGAAGAGTGAACCACGTTCTTATGGCTCTGGATCATACGTAGGGCCAAGCAGTCAAGGTTGGCAGATTTCTCTCCCTAAAGGACATTAAGTGAACCAATTCTATGCCAGTTGACAGTGGTGATGTGACACCATTAATCTGGCTTTTTAATTCCAGGTTTCTATTGGAATAGAAATTTCACCATCTTCTATAGGATTCAAACCCGTGTACTTGAATCATTAGCCTGGGGTCCTGGATTACTCGTCCAATGACATTACTGTTACGCCACTAGATGGTCGACACAGGCAAAGTTCAACATTTCAGAGCAGATCTGACTTTATCCCACCCTTTAACCTCACTGAGACACAGTCAAAAGTTTGTTTCAAAAAACTTTTGTCCTTCAAAACAAAAAAAAGGAAATCTGCCTATCCTATCCGGTCTGGCTTTCACATTACTCCAGAACTACACCAACATGATTGACCCTAAACTGCCCTCCAAAATAGTTGAGAAAACCACTCCAATTCATGGGCAGTTAGGTATGGGCAAGAAGTGTTAGCCTTACCAATGACGAACAGATTCTACGATAGGAATAAGAAACAAACAGAAATACATTGGAATAACTATCCAGATATGGATGTTCCAATGTATAGTCTTGAGATCAGGGCAATGGAATACCCAATCCAGTATCATCACTAAATACTAGAATTTAAAAAAAAAGAAAACAAAAAAAAGAGGAAAGTACTAAGCCTCTTAGGTTGAGTTTCTCCAACATTTACCTTTCTTTCTCGGGGTGAGTAGGGATTGGCAAGATAACGTTTATTGCCCGTGTGCCAGAGATGTTTAATAAATAAATTTGGAAGTGAAGCTCTACATTGATGAATCTGGTATGGGGTAGGAAAGGTTTAAAAAGAGAACCACAACTCTCTTATTGAGGTATTTCTTACAGGATTTCTTACAGGATAATTAGCGAGTATTGGCATAAATACAAGTGCTGGCTAGGAAAATCGGAGAATTTCCCCTCTGAACTGTGTCCCAGGTGCTCTATCAACTGCTACGGGTGCCATTTAAACATGATTGAGATCTCACATCCCACTCCACGTGCCACCAACAAAGTCTGGGCACTTATTAAAAACAGGGCAGCAGCTTTCAAACAACGTACCTCGAGTTCAACATCACCCTTCAATAAATAATCAGACAACTTTAATAAACACACGAACAGTCAATCAATGAGACATTCTTCCAGAAGGAAACGGTTACCAATCCAGAGTGCACTGATATCAAAGTTTTAAAATAGGTTATCCGATGTAGATTCTGGGTTAGCATTGTGTCCATGGACATAAAAAGACCCGAAGAGTCAATATAAGGAAATGCAGCTCCATTGTGTGCAGAATTATCCCCATTCACCAGAGACCTATTGTCTATAACAGTACTCTCAGAGGGATTCCTAGGCGCCACTTCCAGCTAGGTTCACCCATAGCCCCTTTCTATAGTTAACAAACAAGAATCTCTACATAGCCCCAAAGAACAATGGCTCATACAACACAGAGGCTTCATTCCAGTGGGATTTGTTCAGAGAGTCTGAATAATGCTCTGACATCCTTCTTTCTCTCGGGTTCACTATTCACTTTAAGTTATTTAAATATATAGTTTTCATTGAATCATCCTTTTAAATTAAGGGATCAACTCACCAAGCTCACTGCTTGTAATAAAAGACTTTGATCAATTAGTTGTTTTAACACTTATCCCCGTCTATCAATTTCTTATGCTCTTTGGACAAATAGTCCGGTATTGGAGTTTCATCAGGTTGACATCTTTTTATACATGCTTGGTACTGCTCCTGGTATGCCCTCCCACACTCCCCATTGAACCAGGCTTGATCTCCTGACTTGATGGTAATGGTTGAGTGAGGGATATGCCAGGCTATGATGTCGCAGATTGTGCTGGAGTACAATTCTGCTGCTGATAGTCCACACAGTGCCTTAGGATGCCCAGTCAGGAATTTCTCGATCCGTTTGAAATCTATTCTAATCAGCACAGTGGTAGTGCCACACATCATGTTGGCGGGCATTCTCAGTGTGAAGACAGAACTTTATAGTGGTCATTTCTATTGATACAGTCTTGGGTAGATGCATTGGTGGTAACAGATTGGCAAGGGGGAGCTCAACTATGCTATTCCTTCATCACCTGCCGCAGACTCAATCTAGCAGCTATGTCTGTCCTTTGGAACCCAACCAGCTCAACCAATAATACTGCTGCCAGCCACACACAGTGGTGAACTTTGAAGACCTCCACCTAGAGCCCTTTCCCATCCCTTTACCATCCTCAGTATTTTCGCAAAAGTAACGTCCAACGTGAAGGAGCACAGATTCATCAGATAAGTGGAATCTGCATGTGGTAATTCTTTGGCCCATTTTGACCCGATGCCAAGTATTTGAAGTCAAAAATGGAGGGATCCTAAGGAAGTTCCCACCCACTGTGCCTCCACCTCTGCTGGATCTGCCAGCGGACAGGACATATCCAACAATGGTGACAGTCCTGTCTGTGACAGGATGTTTAAGGTATGATTCCACACATTTGACTACATCAGGCTGCTGCTTGACTAGTCTATCAGGCAGGTCTCCCATTTTCGGTTGTGCTGGAACTGCATTTAGTGTTAGTTCGGCCACAGCTGGAGTATGGCATGTTCTTCTGGTCGCCACACTATAGGAAGGACGTAATTGAAAGAAAAATTACCCAGGATGTTGCCTGGGCTGGAGCATTATAGGCTGGCGTTAAGTTTCTTTAAGGCAGAGAAGGTGCAGTCTAAAAAACTTTGAGGGGCACAGATAGGGTAGATGGGAAAGAACTCTTCCCCTCCCTAGAAGGGCCAATAACAAAGAGCATAATTGAAGATAAAATAAGTTAGAGATGTGACTTTTCTCCTCACATTTTGAGAAGTTATTAATTGGCTTTGGTAGCAAAATTTCCTGCTTTGAGTTCAGCCCACGTGTAGAGCTGCCATCACAATCTCATGGGTGGGGTGGGAGATGGTGATTGCACGGAGACAGTGCAAAAACCCAAGTTCATGTCCCTTTTTGTAACTGTAATCACCGGCTGGAAAGTACCAGTGGGTACAGAACCAGTTCAGATGTAATGACCCCATAATGACTCTCCTGACACTACCCATCTGAGCTCAGTGACAAACAAACAATGCCAAGGAGACACTGGAAAGTGGGATTACAATAAATGGATGTTCGATGGCTAGTACAGATGCTAATAGGCTGAAAGGCCTCTTTCAAATTTTAGAAAGTCAAATGATTCTCTAGGGTAGTTAACTCAAGGTACACACAGATAGGAAGCTGGGGCATTTGGGTTACACAAAGAGGCAGCTGGGAGGGCGAATCACAGATATTTGATTTACACATTTGCAGTTGACCTGGCATTGATCAAAGGGACAGGAACCCTCATATAACAGAAAACGAAGTTAATCCACATTCTTGCCTAGGATACAAGCACCACATCCTTCACTCACCTTCTGCTTTTGGCTTCAGATCCACGTTCATATTGACATAGAATTGGAGGCTGTCTTCAGACATGGTAGAGGCATTTACTGTTTCATAAGTTTCATCTGCCCCTTGCCCTTTGCCCTCACTGCTGTCTTCTTCACGATCAGGTTGCATATCATCTGAAACAAAACACATTTTCATCAGCGAGCTTCTCAAGGAAGGTAGCCCTGTCCGTGAGGTCAGTAGCACTCGAGAACAGCTTAATCTAGGAACAAGAAAACTCAAGTTTCCAATCAAGTGAACCAACTAGGGGTTGCCCACCATTGACCTAGGCCTGGAGGTGGAATCACATTACATCTTGGTGACAAATCACCCTGGTCCCATTTCTGCTATTGGTTTTTGATCAAAAAAGTTGCCCAAATTTCAGGAGCTCTCTCTAAAAAGTTACTCAAAAGAGCTTGAAAATATTTGTAGAAAATTCTCTTTAAAAAGAAATGCCTCCACAATTCAAAACTCTCCAAATCACCTCTCCTTCCCCGACCCCCCAATCAACCAAAGTTCCACGGATAATGGACAGAAGTAGTATTTAATAATGAAACAGCACTTTTAGTTTAACGAAACCAGCAACTGTACTTAACTGACCACTGTGGTCACAAGAGACCTCAGGCGCTCAGTTAATGGGGCAGAAATGTGTGGAGACAGTGGGCACCTTGGCTACGAGCTGGTGAACAGGCAAAAGACTCTTGCCAGCTCAAGGAGAAGGACCCACTGCACCTTGTGCCCCTCAGGTAGTTAGCACTCCAGCAGCAAGCTTCACCCTGAGGTTTAAAAGACCAGAGGATGAAAGGCCTGCCCTCAGGGAGCTACTCCCCAGAGGGCTGGGGCAACTCCTCCGCACTCAGCAGCGCCATTCGGAAGGAGGTGGCTGCTCCTGGGACTACACCACCCAAGGCCTCAGATCAAGGGGCGGGGGTAATGGGGTAGTAGGATGCAGGTATTTATGAGCGATGGCAGATTGGAGTTGGCAGACGTGAGGGACTGCGGTGGACAGGAGTTGGCTTAAGCAGGCCTTGCCGTTGCTGAGAAAGCGCGTGAGCAATTAGGTCAAGGTGCACTTGACATCCTTCTACTGCTGGGTAAACAGCGCTCTCAGCAGGATTAGGCATTCATGTGGACAATAACTGCATTAAGGTAGGAAGCATGTCCTCCAACTTCCAAATTTGTTCACAAGAACAATCCTGGAGAAGAAGAGCTGGTCACATGAGGACTGAGTCTATAACCTGATGGAGTTTTGAGGTATGAGGGGTGGATCTGATTGAAAACACACAGAATACTGACAGGCCTGAATACAGTGGAAGTAGAGAACACATTTCCACTTGTGGACAGACTAGGACTTGAGGGCACAGCCTCAGACTGAAGGAGGAATTTCTTCAGCCAGGGGGCAGTGACTCTGTGGAAGCCAAGTTGCAGTGTACTTAAGACAAAAAGAAAATATAGATTGGTTCTTGATTAGTAAGGGGAGCAAGGGTTAGGACGTGAAGGCCAGAAAATGGGACTCATCAACCATGACCAAATGGCAGAGCAGATTCAATGGACCAAATGGCATAATTCTGCTCCTATCTCCACATCTTAACGAAATTCCTCCTCTTCCCCCCGTGCCTGTCAACCTCCCTACAGGGGAGGGAACAGAATTATGCCTAATCTGCCCATTTCTTGCCACATTCCACCCCTCCATTTCTGGAGTGGGATACACCACAGCTCCATCTTCCAGAAAGACCAGTCAGTCAGGCAAGATTGAGGCCTGAATGTCTGCCATTTTGAAATCAGAAGACAAAGATCAGTAAGAACAGAAAGAAAAATGCCACATCTGGTTATGACAATGTCATTTCTGGAATTTTGGCCTTGACTGAAGCAGAGGGTCAAGTAGCTGATGCTGTGTGTAGATGGAGTAGTAACAGGATGTAATTGGTGGGAACATAGTCCTCTCATCTTTGCCAATCTGCAAGGCAAAGCCCAGATCAAGTAAAAACACCATTTCCTTCACTCCTCTCCCCATAAACAGTCACAATTAAATTTTGCACAATTGGTTAAAAAAAAGAGTACAAATGAAAAGCACTTAATCCTGGGGGAAGACAGCAACACTTGTGCTAACATGGAGACAGTACATATGCTTTCCTTTCTTAAAAAAAAAAGGCAGAAGAGCCCTCAAGAGAAGTGGTAGTTACTAGCCCAACACTGACCCAGAAGAACTGAGCTAAATTCATTGGTGGATTACAAGGCACTTTCAAGCTTGATAACCATACAAATCTTGGTAATTCACAACATATTTAAATATCCAAATTATTCTCCACAACAACAATGCCCTTTTTATTAAGAAAAAACAAAAAAAATCATTTAAGGACTGTGGTTTTGATTAAATATAGTTCAGTCTGCAGCCAGCTCTTCCTGTGCTACTAACCGGTTAAAATAAAACAAAAAAACACACACACACACACCACAGGCATACAGCAACATTGACACAGACTAACAAGGAAATGTTCTCTCTCGCTCCCTCCTACCCTCAAGGGAAAAAGCAAAAACCACACAAAAACAACACAGACAGGCTATTTGGCTTGCAATTTGTGTCACTCAGACTAAACAGGCCCAAAACAGAAGTGGCATTTGGCATTATTGTACATTACTGCACCCTTGTAGAGGATTGCTAAATAAACAGAAACTTTCCACAGTCTGCCAGAGGTGCTTAATGTTAAATTACACCAGTAGGGGGAATTAGATGTTACCTTCAGCAACCATCCAGTTCCACTCAATCACTCAACCCAACAGGCTTGTTTCTGTATATTTCCTGCATCCACCTTAGTCGATCAGATTATTTTATCCTAAGCCTTTCTTTTTCTCCAGAAACACAGCAATACTAATTTTGCCTCAGTTACTCACCATGGTGACATACGCTGCTGTCACTCTCAAGGTCACAGACTACCTTACATTGATATCCCTTAGCTTTAGGCTCTCCCGTTATTCTTAACATTGGAATTGAAAGTGTACAGTTGAAATCAGTTGCAAGTTACACACAAAAACAGAAGTTGCTCGAGTAATCCAGCAGGTCTGGCAGCATTTGTGACGAGAAAAGCTGAGTTAGTACTTCAAGTCCAGTGACCCTTCAGCAGAACGGTCCTAGCACAAATCCCAAGGAAACACCATTGGCTCCCACTGGTTCACTAATGCCCTTTAGGGAAGGAAATTTGCTGATCTGGCCTACATGTAACTCCAGACCCATAGCAATGTGTTGGACTCAACTTCCCAACGAATGCTGGCGTAGCCAGAAATGTCTGTGTACCACAAACAAATAAAAACATATTTCTGCCAGTTTGAGTAGCTATCCTTAAAACTGGCACTTAATTTGTCCTGTTCATGATTCGAAGCCTGCCTTATATATGGAAACTTATCACTGGCCTGTTGAGAAATTCTTTCACTTATTGGAAAAGGTAGATCACTTCGCATTAACTTTTTTTTTTTTTTTTAAAAAATGTTTCACGGGATGAAGGCATCACCGGCTAGGCGACATTTATTGCCCATCCCTAATTGCCCAGAGGGCAGATTAAGAGTCCACCACATTGCTGTGGGTCTGGAGTCACATGTGGGCCAGACCAGGTAAGGATGGCAGATTCCTTCCCTGAAGGGACATTAAATGGAGTACAGACATCCAGATTACATGCTGACACAATCTCCTTCAGTAGTCAGAGGAACAGCCAGTTATTATAGAATTCCTACAGTATGGAAACAGGCCATTCAGCCGACCGAGTCCGTACTGACCCTCCAAAGAGCATCTCATCCAGACCCAAAGCCCCACCCTCACTCTGCAACTCTGTATTTAATTTGGCCAATCCACCTAGCCTGCACATCTCTGGACTGTGGGAGAAAACCAGAGCACCCAGAGGAAACTCACACAGACAGACAGACACACAGTAAACCAAAAAGTAGAAACAAACCCATGTCCCCGGTGCAGCACAAACAGCAGTACCAACTACGGAGCCACCATGCTGCCCATCAGAGATTATCTCAGTGGGCTCATTTGCTTTACAAACAGGAAAGGGCACAAGTCAAGAAGCAGGCATTTGAGCAAAGTCAATTGATCAGCATGTACAATCCCCAGCAGACTCAATATTGTTTACATGCAGTGTGATGGAGTCTTTAAAAAAAAGGGGAACTGTCTGCAAACAGGGAATCAGGGTTACAGAAATTAAAAAAGGTGGGAAAGTGAAGTCAGATCAGCTAAGAGCTCGTTGAATGGTGGAGTAGACTCGATGGGCCTATTTCTGCTCTTACATCTTAGTTTTGCAACTAATATTCAGGGACAGAAAAATGTTCTTCTTTGAGCAGAAAGGTGGAAACAAAGAACCTCACTCACGCCAATATAGAGACTCTCGGATTAAAAATGGGGTCAGCAAAATTTCAAATTGCTGATAATTGTGCTTTGAATGCAGTCAATTGGATTAATTTGAACAAAGATTTCTCATTTAGTTTCAATTGATTATGGCTATGTTGGGAACCAAATAAAACAGGTCTCAATAACTAGAAGACCCATTGAATGGATGTGCTCAAAAAACACCGAGGTGATATACTGCTTTCTGGCTGACATCCTAATCACCTCCTGGTTAAATCAGCAAGCTAGAGTCTCCAATGATTCTAGGTCTAAAGCAGAAAAAGTTGTTCAATCATATTTTGGCAGAATTATAACCAAATCGAGTTGAATCAAAGAGTATTCCAGAATTCAGCCTACATATATTTGCTGCTAGTATTTTGTTGTTAATGTCAGCACACAAAATAGTAAATGACTCTTTAGTGACAAAGTACACGAGTTCATTAACTCCATCCAGTCATTAAATTGTCTCAACTCTCCATCCTTCCTCCTCACTATGCCTAGGCAGTTATTGGACTTACCTACAGTTGTGTGTGTGTTTGTGTGTGTGTGTACGCGCACGCACGCGTATGCGTATGCGTGGGGGGGGAGAAGCGGTAGAGAAAGAGCCTTCTTCCTCCCCCCACCCCATTTAAAACAATCTAGGAATTCATGGCAAACCAGAACACACAAGTATCTCAATGTCCCAAGTCTATATGCCAATGTGTTGAAGTCTGCCCAAATATTTGTACCAAACTATGTACAGTTTGGTCTCCTTACTCT